TCCAAGAAATCTATCATAGTTTGAAATGTTGGAAGATAGCTGAGATACAAGAAGGAGTCCCAAAATACAACATTTCCGATTTCGCCCTGTATCTCAGAGACGAAGTGGGTTATTGAAATTCAAGTTTTGGTATCTTGAGTTTTATGAGAAGTAGCCAACGTTCGTGAAAACTATAAATCTCTCTCTGTAAAAAAGTGAGCTATATATATATCCCATAAGGACAATGAGACAACCTGTAGAATAATTCTTCCTGAATTTGAGGAAAAATTTCTCTTGAACAGAAAGAAAAACAGGTTCTACCATTTCCTTCCGATTATCCACATAATATAGTACGCAGGTTGACTCCGCCGTCACAATCATCAACAAAATTCACGAAATGGACTCGTTTGATATTTTCATTAGTTAAAAAATGCTGACTGAAGATCAGATTTTTCAAGTGATATCAAGATCGAAAAAATTCACTATTTGCTCTGTTCATCTATATTTTATCACAAAAGTGACACTTTGTTTGACAAGAAAATTTTGCATTTGCGAAGCGGAGCGTCAAGCGAAGCCGAGCAAAAGCAAAATTCGCGAGACGAACAAAGTCACTTTTGATCCAGATGGAAGATGCCTTTTTTTTCTGCAACCGAAAGAATTAACTGAAATAAATATGTGAAGTGATCACCAATGTGATCCACTTGACAGATCATTATAATCCATTTTTTATAAAAACATAGTTGAGTAGATAGAAGCAAGACCTCAGACTGATTTGGATTAGAATATTGGTGGACGATGACTTTAATTTGTTACAATTTGTGTTAACATGCATCATCAGATACTACAGGTACGAATTCAATACTATACCTGAACGTAGATGCCGTGCAATATGTATGCAATGCAACAAATAATCCGTGTGGTGAGAATATTCTACCTGCATTTACAGATCAGGTTTATTCAATTCTCAAGGATGTTCAGATTGTAGTTTCAATACAACCACAGAGTGACCCATTCGTGTTTTCTATATCCAATCGATCAATCGATGAATTAATTTGGACCAGGTATCAGCTTCAATAGCAATTACCGCGGCAGTGCCAGGTATTGAAAAAAGAAGTGGAAAATGTTAGGTTAGTGAGCGTATCAACATATTTTTGGCTCGATTAACGAATGAGGGTAAACAATTTCGTTGTGTGTGACAAAAAAGTATTGCTGGCCGTGATTATTCGAAAGCAAGTTATCCAACTAATCTGATCCCGAGAATGAATGAAATACACATCAAGCAAGTATGTGAATCTTGGAGGCTTTCTTGATGAAAACAAGACGTAACTATAGTATAGTGTATTTATATCTCCAACATGGGTATGAAATGCCTAATCTGCCGAAATCGGAAACGAATCAGGTATGCGTTCCAACCCAAATAACCAACCATAACAATGTTATTTATTCTTGATGACCTAGTACATCTTTTTCAGTTCCTAGGAGCTAAAGTTCAACTCCAGGTCCTAGGAACTAGAAGTTCTGCCAAGTAACATACTTTTGTTTGTGTCAGTAATAGGAACGTCAATTCAATAAGAGCAAATATTGGTATTAAAATGGACGACTTCTGTGTCGGTTGCAGTAAATATATTTTGACTGACGGTTTCTTTACAGTCGAGGAATATTACCTTTTGTCATTTGATGAGTTTGATAACCTCATTTAGCATGGATGACGCTTTACCTTCATTGAACATTGACCGACAATTATGACATTTTCAACATTGTTTATACTGTTCTTGGTTTCACGAATTTGATCCAATGATTCATCATTCAATTGAATTCACTGAAATGAATATACCGGGTGTCCCAGTATACCTGTTCCAATAGATTATATCTCAGCCATTTCGAAAGATGAAAATTTGAAAATTACATGATCTACTACAATTCTAATGATTTGAAATTATTATTGAAGTCAAAATCAAGATTACAAAAATATCGTAGCCTACTGCAATTCGTTCAATTTGAAATGTCAATTGTCGTTTTCACCATCAAATCAAATTCAAAATACGAAGTGTGATACATCGTTGGGATGGTGATTTTGAGTATAAATCAAAAATTGCAAAAAATATACAGGGTTAAATTTGAAATAAAAAAGTTTGAGTCACTTCCGGTCAAACCGGAAGTGACTTTCAATTGTTGTTTTTCTCAGTTGATGCTTTTTTGAACGAATTGGAGGTCATAAAATTTTCGTATTTTCCTTTTTCCAAATGGCTGAGATGATTCATTGGAACAGGTATACTGGGACACCCGGTATATTGTATGATATATTCTTCCACAATTTATTATATAACTTGGTTGAATGAACATCTGACTCAAATGGTCAATTCATCACCAGTTAGGTACTCTACTCCATGCACACAAATGGTGTATATTAGGACGTTCCATAATTTTCATTAGTATCAAACTACATGTCAAAATAAGTAAAAACTCTCTTACTTCTCCAGTAAGGGATCGCGTCTTTTTTCGTGATATTGGCAGATTTAGACAAAATGCGTTTCCTAACAAGTTACGTCTATACAGTTGCATTAAAAAAAAGCGTACAAGTATATTACAGAGAGAAATTAACATCATCCTATTCTGCATAAAACGGGCTATCGGGAATGATTGTTCACCAAATGTTGACAGTAAAGTTGTCATAGGTTCTCGAAAACACAAAGCATTGGCTGAGCCATTTTTACACAACTAGAACTAGGATCCCGAAATCCTCTCTTTTTAATATTTGTTAACTTTTTTATTGAATACGACTATACAATTTTCTTCCCAGATTCGATGAAAAATTTCGCGAGAACAGAAATAATGACCAGTTCAACAAAAGTTCTACCAATTTGGTACAAGATTTATTAAGTTGACCTAGCCCGTCACTTTGGAGTATCTGTCAAACGATGATATGGTCACAAATCAGCGACGAAATTCACTTAACGCCCGTTTGATAATCTCATTATTGGAAAATGGCTGATTCAAGTTCCGATTTAGCTGAGTTATACCAGGAAAGCAGCACTAAATGCAACATTCTCTTAGTCCAACCATATTTTGATTCGTGACTAGTGTTGAAATAAACATTTCATCATCAGTATTGTAATATATAAGTTGACGCAAAGTCTACTACGTGAAGTGAAACGTTTCAGAATTCTTTGAAAGTGTCAAGTTACAAGTCACAATCAAAATTTGTTTCACTAGGCAGGAAAGCACAAGATTTAATGCATCTGCTGGCGTTTCATATGCAAGGCGTAGCCAAGAGAAAGAAACCAGCTAAGGGAACAAATCGATACCATAGTTCAATAGTGTAACATCTCAAGAATCGTGGTCACGAGAAAATCGCGATTGAAAATTCAGCTCATAACAGTTTGATTCTAATTTTGAACATTGTGTCCAAAGAATATAAAATGATAGCCATGTCATAGTAGTTTTCTATTCACTTCCTTGAATAAATAAATTTAGAAAAGAAAACTTTTCATATAAAAATGATTTCGTTCAGACTTGTTCCACTATTGATCTGAATTATATAATAATTGATGATATGGAGCTCTGTGATCGAAAGTCATCATCATTATTAGATGAGTAAGTACAATAACTACAATCACTACAAGAACAATGATATACCATAGTATCATAAGTTTGTTTTGAGTGTTGAAATTAACCATTTTGAGCTGTGCAATGTAACAACTCGATCTGAATCAATGAAAATATTTCACAGTTCAAAACTGTAACAAGTCTTGATGATTGTATTAAGTTATTAAAGTATGGAATTATATGGAAATGAGGTTTCATTCAGTTCTATAAAGAAACTAGCACCATCTCTTGGTCAGTACTGGAACTTTCAGTTGTTACATTAAAGCACGTGAAAGCAACAAAATGATGAATTGATGATGAGTTGTTACACTATTGAATTATGGAATCAAAATCTGCTTTTGCCTGCGATGGAGAACATATGATTTTTGCTCCAAACTTGTTCCAATATCCCGCAAATCCGAATTTTGTGTTCACCCAAAGTCAATGTCAATTTTGATTACCTATTCGCTTCAACTCAGGACGTCGCATAGCAACAAACTTTTTCTACCTAGGCAGAGAAAGAACACCTTCACTGCCTGTCGAGTGTCATCAAAAAGCCACTTCCAATGTCATCAGGAGGAACGCATCTTATCCATATGAAGCCAAAAATATGAAACAAATGAATATCCATAAGGATTTGGTGGCATGATACGCATGCGCTATTATTATAGTAGTCATCAAAGACATGCGTTTCGGTGGACAATGACGTTTACTAGCCTTTCAATCAAAGCAGTATGTGTCTGATCGTTTCAAAACTTTTCCTTATGGATAGTCATTCGTCTTCAAAAATCGGCTTCATGTTTCGCTATGGAAACAGATACAGATTATCCGTATTGATTATTAATACGTATATGATCTTATCACATTGTGACGCATTGTGATGATAATATGGAAATGTATATGTGGAAGTTGATTGAATATATCATGCAAGATTGTTATTTGACACAATCAAATAACCATTGAATACTGTCTGAAGGTTAATCGAGAAAATAGTACATAAATTTCACTACATTTTATAGAATTTCCTCTCCTCGTTGCTACAAATGGAATGGAGTTATAATTCAATATACGCGTAGTAAGGACAGATCACATTTCACTGACAATCGATTGGATTCATTTCCAAGGCTCACTAATAGGAATTCATAGTGACAAGTTGAAGCAAATCTACTGATTTGTCCCCACAACACGTAAATTGAAATGATATCCATAATATCATTTGAAGAATCGAGGAAAGAAAATCACAACAAATCTAGTAAAATGCATTAACGACTAGTAAATATGAAGCATTCTGTCTCAGGCCTGTTCAGTGGCACTTGGTGAAATACCATGATGATTCTGTTCAATAATTCCAGATGATGACTCAGATACCATGATGATTCTGTTCAATAATTCCAGATGATGACTTAGAATGATGATGATGATTTCCGAATACTCACGTGAATTGGCACTGCTGTTATTTTCTGGGCTTAGATATCCTAAGAACGAGGACTGATCATATATTGGTGTATGATTTCCGCTCAACATCAAGATTTCTTTCTTGATATCATCCTGGAACGGAGAATAGCAATAGGTATATATAATGTATTTTCCCGAAAATATGTTGGATAGTCACAAGTATGAGCTTCAAAAAGAGATTTCAAATTTTCTTATGAGTTCACGACAATATATTGTGATCACTTGCTGTACTCATTTCTCAATGAGATTTTTGTACTTACGTCATGCGTAAACCCAGAAATTTCGATATCGTTTTCAATCAAACCTTGGAAGAAAATCGAGATCATTGAGTAATGAAAGTGAACTGGGTCAGTTTTTGTAACCTCTTCAAAAATATCCTCGCAGCACAAGAGCCATTCACAATATCATTATTTCATGAATGAAGTTCTGGAATCGATGGAGTGAATGGAAATCATATCTATATTTTCATACAGGCTAACTGACAAAATACGCCCCAAGCCCCCATCTCCCTCATCTCATCTATACGTATAGGTTTAAGTCAAGGGTTAAGTGGAAGAACAGGAGCCCCTGACGGAGCATCCTGAACTTCGCCTTTTGAAAAATTTGAATTGAATATACAGGGTAAATCTGAATAACCTCGAAACAATCCAAGGGGTGATTCCTTGTGGTATTTCAGGGAATAAAGTTCATATAAACATGTTTCCTAACTTGCTTCGTTCTCGAGATACAGGGTATCAATATTTCCATGAAAAATATTTGTTCTATTCATTTCTCATTTGTGTTTCAATCAATTTCAATCAAACGTTGTGATATTGGTAATAGAAATATGGAGCTTCTTCTAGTGCAATAAGATTCCAAATAGTATTTCCAGTGGCGTCACAGTGGGTAAATTTATCGATATTCATGGTGAATGTCATTGTACACCACCGGTTTTTCTGAGTTTTATGTTTTTATCAGATTGAACTATACGAATGACAACTTTTTCATTCCCTGATGTGTGATTCTTGTATTTAGCTTAGTTTTTGAGGAAACAGTAAAAATTTGATTTGACTCCAAATTTCAATGCAGGTGTTTCCAAGACTTCCATTGAGATTACTCAATAAACCCAATTAGAATCATTATGAAACTCTGGGACTTTCTCAGTCTCCATCCATACTGAATTTTGACACCATGGAAGCTTATACAGGGGGGTTATGAATAAAATCAATCAATACTTCCAACTTCAACATCCTGTATCTCAAAAAGGGAGCAAGTTAGGGCACTTATTCATGTGAACTTTATTTGCTAGAATGTCACAAGGAAACACCCTTGAATTTTTTTGGTGTTATTTAGATACACCCTGTATATATTTTTTGTAGTATCAAAAGTTTTCCAATTTTCAATTTTCAATGAAGTTATTTTTATTATTATATCGAATCTGATTCAGAAAATCAAAAATGCAAATAAATTTACATATCATATATCATTAGTAGGCTCGGATCAATTTTTTTTTCAAATTTCGACTGTCAACGTCACCGATTGTCAACTACCGAAAGTAATATTTCCTTCTTCTTTTTTTTTCTGTTCGAGATTTCATTTCTAGATACAATTGAGTTTGTATGAGAAGGTGACTCTTGGAGATAATGAGTTTAAATGAAAAATAAATGCTCAGTTGACAAGGAATACATATTCTTGCAGTCGCAGTAAAAGCCACTGTAATGAACGTCGGGTTTCATTCATTAGATATTTCGAACACGCATATGATCCCAAAGTATGCTGTGATATAAAAAATTGAATGTTCAAACTGGTCATCGTTATTTTGAACATGCAATAATTCACAACTATACTGATTGCTCCGTTGCAAGATGATATCCATATTTCGTTGTTTCCATAGGGAAATTATACCTGGGTAAATATGACAGAAGGTCATTCTTTTATATCTCATGTAGCAATCAGTAAGTATGAATTGTGTTCCACACAACGATTACCAGTTGGAATCTATCTCACAATACACTTTTGAATCACACGCGGTATTAAAATTGTTGACGACTGAAAAAAAAAACATTCGTTTCAGTGACATTTTTTGCCACATTCAGGGATTAATCTCAAAAATTAATGGAAATTTGAATTTCTCGTCGACTGAGCATTGATTTCTCATTCGAACTATATTTGTTCAAAAGTCAACTCATCATACATCATTGTATTCAGAATAAAAATTTTATACAGCAATAAATTGAAAAATTGCCAATCAGTGTAGTTATTATTGAAATTTGTGAAAAAAAATATTAAAGCCAAACTACACATGAAATCTGTGATTTCATTTGATTTCTTGTTTTTCAATATCAGAGAGACTATGGCTTGTGGAGTTTCTATGAAAGCTCAAGTAAACTTGAAACGAACAAAACGTTGACTCAGCTAATTGATAATGTCAAATTGAAATACATCATCAGCATTTGCCATGAATTTGTGGCCTAAATTCATTGTCAACGCTAGAAAATGAGGTACTCAATTGAAATTGAAGATCCGGGAATTCTGAATGAGAAATCATTATTGACCCTTCAATCACGCAACTTTCTTCCTATTTGATCAAATCTATATATATTGAATTTTCCACGATATACCCATACTGGCTCTCCTTATCTTGGAAGCAGAGTGTATACGGATACCTGTATGTCGTGATGGGTCACTTGAAGTGGATCGAAGGAAGACATTCTTATGCCGGATGAAAGTCTGATTGAATGAAATGAGAATGTCTTTCAGTGGTGATTGGCTATAGAAACACAATTCATGACACTCATATTATATCAGTTCTGGCCGAGATTTATTCCACATACTCCAAGGTTGACGACCAAAGAATTTGATAACAAACATCAGCTTGACGCATTCCTTATGAAATGATCTAATGAAATACCTCAAGTGAAGTGGTACCCTACATTCGAAATCATTGTGATATAGTGAGAAATACGATCTCGTACTGGAAAATCAGGAAAATAGTGATATTTATGAATGCTCACCATGGTATGAGATAGCACGAACACTACGGTCTATCGATTTCAAGTGTATATATATTCGAAACAACTTCACTTTGTCTCACACAATCCTTTATTTGAATGGATGTAACAGCTATCCACCATAGCGACTATTAAGGAAAAACTGAAACTTCAAATTCTTCTGGATATTTGAAGGAGGCCGTGGCCATATTATTGAGCACACGTGTGCTTATCTTTTATACTTCAACCAATAACTTGTACGATTATTATACCTGAAGATGACCAACCATAGGCATGGGCTTAGCCAATATCTGTATGACCCTTTTCCAAGTAGATCACAAATATGGATTACTCCACTAATCATATAATTCATTCACCCTACTGATACAGGTACACAGAGATGGGTAGAAGTGAAGATAACCAAGTGCGATTATCACGGTAACCGTTGAATTTTTTGGAATTCTTGTACAGGGTGATTTCAGAACACGCCGAAATTAGAAATGTTTTCGTTAATATTGTAAAGTTTGTTTCACTCTCGAAGGAATTACCTGCAAATATTTCTCTATGTGAGAGACTTGACTTCCACTTGCTAATAAAACATCTTGATACTATTTCAGTGCAAGATCATTGAGGAATTGATGATTTTAATCAGAAAAGAAAATCGAAATCAATAAAATACTCCTTTCTCACTTCACAGGTGAATCAATAATGCGTTCTCCTCCGATTAAAGCGAAACCGTCAGACATTAAAAAAAAATCAAATATAATAGTGATAGGATTCCAAGAAAACAATCAGCTGAAATTGTTTTCATATCTATATAGGTTGTTCGGATTCGAAGATATCAGCTGAAGATGATTTCTATTATATCGAACACCTTGTTTATTATTGCATTCATAGGATCATAATAGAGTGCCGATTTTATCAATAACAGAAATCAACACAGGGATATAGTGTGTTCACAAAGTAGATTTTTAGATTTCAGGACTACTTTGTGTCGAAACTATCAAATATTGGTCAAAACGGCTCGACTGACCCTATCTCAACTTTCGATTTATAATCTACTGATATTCAATCGGTACAGAAACTGGGTGATCAGATTCCTGAATCTTGAACCACTCTGTAATTACAATTGAATGGCGGGAGATTGTTGATCAGAAATCGAGATAGGAACATGATTGTGAGCCGTTTTGACCAATGATGAATATTTTCGACACAAAAATATCCTAAACTAGAAGAATCTCGATTTTCAACACCCTATGTCTCTGTAACTGTTTCCGCTAGACGATTTGGCTAATATCGAAGGGAAAAACACTACTGAATCATCCTGTATGAGCCAAAGGAACCTCAATCAGATATAACGATGAATTTATTCGAAATCACATGTAGAAAACAAAAAACGAACTCATGACAAAAACAAAACAAACCTAAATCTAGAAGATCGCATAATTATCCACCCTATATATCATTTTCAGCTCATCAACAAATCTCAAGAATCCTCCTATAATCACTTCAACCAATTCACTTATTCCATGTTTACAGAACTTGAATTATTATCAATTGAGAAATCATGAATGGTATCAACAAATAATACTTCTCCAAATAGAATTCGAAAATTACTCCTATTACGTTCGTTAACCACTGTATTATAAGTTATCTAAGGAGTTGTTACTGGGTTGTGTTATGAACCTGATTTCTAAATGTCATTCACAAACATTCATCTGGGCAAATAATGAATACAGATATATCAAAAACATGAATTCCTTCTTTAGAAAACTGTAGAAGAGTCGGCGACCTTTACCTTTTCTACAGATAATTTTGAGGGAAATGTTCTTCGGAAAGCTATAATTTCATCGCTAGCAAAACCATTTCGACAAACCCGACAGGCTCATTCAGCAAATCGTTTCATTGTCAACCTTGGAAAGTGGCGAACAACACTCTACCAAAACTCGCGAAGCTTCAGAATTCTATGCCAATGAAAGTATTTCCAAGAACTTATAGTCTCCAAAAGATCAAAATAACTGTCAACACCTACCACCTCTTTCTTTCCTCTCTAGGTACGCGCGATGTTCCACGATCATTTAAGGAATTCTCTTTAGTGCGCTCCAAGAGATAAGAAAAGTATGA